GGCGCTCGGGAGGCTGAGGCAGGAGGGCGCTCGGGAGGCTGAGGCAGGAGGGCAGCCCTGCGCCATCCCAGCCCCGGCCTCCAGCTTGAGTCCCGGCTGCCCTTTGCTTTCTTTCATGTATTTAGCAAAGGGGCGTCTCAAAACGTAGATCCGACTCTTAGTGATCCTCCTGTTTTCAGCCTGCCAAGTGCTGGGATTACTGCAGGTGCGCCCCCACGCCTAATCTCAGTCGCCCTCTCAGCGCGCCCCCGGGTCGGGGCGGGCACGGCTCGCGGGGGATCGAACCCCGGCCGTGGCCGGCCCGGGCGGCCTTTGCGACATGCAGATATCTGTGAGAGGGAGCGATGTTTTCTCCGAGTTGTGCAGCGGCAGTTCGCGTTTTCCGTGCCCGCGCGGCCCTCGCTGCCTTGGGCGCTTTGCTCGCAGGCTCCCCCGCAGTCCGGGGGGGGGGGGGGGGCAGCGCGGAAGCCCCGAGCCTCAGCCTGCAGGGGGCGCCCCGCCCCGCGGGCCTGTCGCCGTTATGCATGGCGACACCAGGGGGCGCTGCAGGCAAGGACTTTAGACAGTACCCACGTGGGCTCCAGTGAGCACAGTTAATTAATTAATTAATTAATTTGGCAGAACCAGGGATTGAACTCAGGCCCTTTTGCTTGCCAGGCTTATTCCACTAAGCCGGCCCCTGTAAATTTAAACATCCTCCCAATTTCTCTTGTAGACATCTTTTTTATCTATCTATCTATCTATCTATCTATCTATCTATCTATCTATTATGTATTTGGTACAGGGTCTACAGGGTCTCAGCACACAGATCGGAGGCGCAGTGATCCTCCTGTTTTCAGCCTCCCAAGCGCTGGGATTACAGGCGGGCGCCACCAGCCCAGTCTCGGTTGAGGGCAGGGCCTGCCCTTCTCGCGCATATTTTATTTTATTTCATTTCATTTCATTTTTACTTACTTACTTTTGTTTTTCTTTTTTTGCGGTACCGGGGACTGAACTCAGGACCTTGTGTGTGCCAGGCATGTGCTTACCGTGGACATTCAAAACTGGCCCCGGGGACCCCGGTCCCACGACCCCTGCGTGATTCTGACGTGGCCCAGGTCCGCATCCCCCGAGCCAGGCCCAGGGCTTCCGCCCGCACGTTGGGCAGCTCTGCGGACAGGCCGGGGAGCTGTCCGGCGGCGGAGTCTCGGTGCTCCGTGATTGCAGGCCTTGGGGAAGGACAGACGGGAGGGCAGGGCGAGCCCTGCACTCGGCCATGGGGTAAGGGCGGCCTGAGAGGGACAACTCCCTTGCCTGGGGCTGCTTCATGAGATCTACAAGTCACTCGGTTTTCCTCCAGGAATCCCGTGGCTTATATAAGCGCCTACGTGGCAAGCACCCGGCCCCAAGTTCGATCCCCAGTACCGCCAAAAAAAAAAAAAAAAAAAAAAAA